CTAGTCTTACACTGCTAAATTAGGGATGGCGAGTGCAGATAGCCCTCGTGTAGCTTTGCGCAAAATTCATAACAAACCAAACCAAACACTTATTTTTGAAATTTTTGGGTATTTAGAAAAGATTAGCTACTTATAAAACTCAATTCAAGTCTATAATTGGATCAAAGTTCAAAGTAAAACATGAAGTACGAATAGGCAGAATGATGGCCACACCCACTTTGAGATTGCACGGTATCAAAAGCCAACAAGTGTTTAAATGTTATCCCACCCATTCCTATCCAATTCCAATTTTTTTTCTAATTTAAAAATTTTTTTACACTAGTCTCATAGCTTGCTTTGGTACAAAGTCTTAAGAGTGAATGGGCTCTTGGCCTATCTTCCTCGTAGTTTTTCTTAGAACTATCTCTTGACATTTCCTGACTTTTGCTGATATTTTTGCTATAGTTTTTCTTCCATCTAGCCAGGGTGGCAGCCTTTTCTTTGGTTGGATTAATGGCTAAGGCTTTTTCACTTCTTCAGCATTACTCTTTCTAACCTTATTTCTATTCTCTAAGTAATGCTCCCTCCACTGGGACAGATACTTTTCATGGTTATCAACATAAGATTTTCTTATTTTCTCTTGTTTTGTTTCCATGATAGGCATATTTTAAAAATCACTGTTTCAAGTACCATCTTGCATGTCAATGTCTAGAACACTCGAGCAAAGCTGTGTCAGACTTCGGCAGTGGTAGCGTTCGCACTCACATAGGAGACTCGTGTTTTAGGCACAGACTGCTATGATAGAATTGCTTTGTCCAATGCAGAACCCTTGAGTCAGGTGTAGTGAACTAAAAAAATTATTTTCAAAGGTTAGATCATAATTGGAACCTAGATCTCTACCTAATACAGCTGCAGACTGAATACATAGCTTGTGCACATAAGCAATCACCCTGGTGACACGAGGGTGTGTTGTTATTTGGCAAATTGCAGAGCATGCTTGTAATTATAGAATATGGCTACTAATTTGTTGTTAGATTGTTATTACCAGGGTTATAAGTAAAAATAAGAAAAAATGCTTTTATACAAGGTAGCGTAATTCAGTCTTGTGCATTTAGATTTGCATAAGGTGAAGGGAGGAGAGAGTTATGCACTTGATTTCTTTACTGCTCAACAGTTTGTTTAAAGTGCTTATTAAGTTTGTTTACGTGCTGTTTGAAGTGTGTTTAAGATTTTAATTTATACTGCACATATTGAGCATCTGGCCCATTTCTACTATAAGTACTACTGTACTTATGATGATGTAACTGTATATTCTAAATTGTTGTGTTAATGTTTGAAGCTACCTACCATGAATTATTTTATGTGTGATTGTCTGCCTTCAATTCTAAATTCAAAATAAAAGTAGCAAAGGTTCTAGTCATTGTCAGTTGTTAAAAATTTCTACTGAATCGTTTGGCAAATGGATGATACATAATTACAAATAGAAATTGGTGTCACATTCATGACATTAAGATATAATCAACTAACAAATACTTGGTTTAAAGTGAATGCCCTACATACAGCCCAATAACAAAAATTATGTAAAAAAAAACTTCTACAAATTATGTTTCTGTATATCCTAGTTTACTTTCACTCCTTATGATACAAGTTGCTGGACTTACCTTCCAATTCCATCACCATGTTTTATTTCACCCACACGTGCACCCAGCTGTTACTATTGTTCACAGTCAATACAACCGTCTGCATTGCCATTGGTATTGACCTTACTTTCAGGGCTGTCTTTAAGCTCCTTCCACAGGGCAGCACATTCTCTAAACTTCTTGTAACTTTTGTCACTAAATTGAATTAACCTGCTGTGAGTAGAAACGGCATGCATGAAACAATGGCTGGACGAAATTCCTTCAGAATCATCAACTTAAACACTAACATCTGACAACATGTAGGCCACCATGCTTGCTAATGTTCACATTCCTTGAAACAAAATGTGAGTAGCTAAGGGTTACACTACTTCAATAATGGTCTATGTTAACCATATCGTGATTGAGACTGTCAGTGATGTTATTCATGGTGAGATGGAGGGCATTGTGTGGACTGGTAGGTGGACCTTCCCCCATACTTTTATCTCACATTATTTGCATGATTGGCAGTATCTTCATCTGAGGATTTTGTTCACTTGCAGAAGCTATCTTAACCACTTCCACTAGATTATACAGAGGGGCGAGTATTTTCACAGGATCCCACTCTGTGGCGAGTGTTGCTCAGGTAGGTGTGCTTTTATCAAACCAATTCCACACTAATTCAATATACTTTATCTAGGTTGCAACAGTCTCTGTAGAAATAAGGTGTTCCATAAGACCATCTAGAGGGTGGACCACCACTCATGGACTATCATGAGTAAAATATAAGGGGATCTTGCCCATCCCTACCAATCATTGGATTGAATAAATTGGGGTCAGTTTGCTTTTAAAAACTTGGGGAACTTTGTTCACCTATTGCACTGTTTTTCACGACTCCCCAATATGCATTATCTCCCCCCCCCTCCAGATTCTATTAGTGGAGCTAGGAAGTCCTTACCACTCCTGGTTTTCAGTCACTGGGGTGGTGGACAAAGGCTTTTCCTCCAGTGTTAAAGAGTCAATTCCTCCGCTCCTGGAGAAGGCAAATTTGGGAGCTCTCCTACCCGAGTTCCTGGATGGTTTTTTTCCCAGATGTTGGTAGGAGAAGCTCCAGCCTATGCAGGAGCCTACTCATAATACTGGTTCAGATTTGATGTTCATGGAAGAGGGTCCATTGTCTCTTCTTAATTCCAGAGTGGTCCAATCCTGAGTCCATGGTTGAGCACGGTTTGTTCCACGTCTTCCCCATAATTCTGGGGGCAAGTGGAAATTACCTTGGCTCTCTGGTTGCGATCTGGCCAATAGTGATTACAAATCATGTAAAATTCCACCCACAGTGCATGAATTAAGTTCCAGGTGATAGAGCATACCTGTTCTGGATGTAGTGTGGTTCACCTACTAGGGTGCCAATCTTTTATTTACACACCCATGATCTATGCAGAGATTTTCTGTATGGATAATGCCCTTACTGGCCCCTCCATTTTAACAATATGGGATTCCAGCTGTAAGTTTGAGCGGAGGTAAGTATATTTTGGAAGTTAAAATTTTCTTAAATTGAAAATGTATTTCCATTAATCCTTACCTCTGCTGACACTCTCCTGCCCTTCCTCCCCACTAAGAGCTGATGTTAGAGACTATGATTGAGTCAGTCTCAAAAAAGTGATAACATTATCTGAATGAGGTACTTATATACAGTACCAGGATAGAGGGTGCATTGATGTAGGTGGGCAGTTAAGTGGGGTATGAAAGACTGGAGCAAACAAGAAAAAATAGATCAATGCTTAGATGGGAAAAGGAAGAAACCATGGTGGTTGAGTAATGGCTTAAGTGTGAGAGGTGGTAAGTATTATTGGAAATACAATTTTGATTTAAAAAAATGTTAACTTCTACAATATAGTTGGACTGACCATTTACACATTAAGTTAAAGAGCCCTGGATATATCTCTCATCTGTGGTGATACACCAGCACTTTAAAATATATATATACAATAATTCTTACAAAGTGCATTTTAAGCATCTTTATGTAATATTAATAGTAATAAAAAAAACAGTATAAATTTTTGGAATGTTTTCTAAGCTTCACAAATACTGAGTTTCACAGTGATTTCATGTTTTAGTTGGTTTTATTATTACTTGATTCTTTTTTTTCATATTTCTACTCTTAAATAGTAAAGTGTACCAGATTCCTTTGTTAATAAAGAATTCTTATTATATGAAACTGTCAAGTATTTTATAAGAGTGGTTTTTCCTTTGCTTTGTTGCATCTACTGTACTTTTACCTTTCTTATGAAAAGCTGGTTTTTCTTTTCATATCGTATTTTACTTAAGTGAAAAAAAAAATTGCTTTTTTACTCACTTATGTTTACAGTGATAAATTTATGGATGCCTCAACTTTGTTTTTGTGCATATATGTGTGTGGCATAGCTATATGTTTAGAAATTTTTATTTTCAGCTTACACATTGTACACTATTTGTGTGACTTGTTTAAAAATAACCTTTTTTTTTCTTCCATCCCATTTTATTTATGAAATAGGAAAGTCTTTCTTTCTGGTGTGTGTGTGTAGGGGGGGGGTCTCTGCTATTTGTGTAAGATATGGATAAGTTTCTTTCTTTCTTTTTTGTTACATATGTTGATATTCATATGTTATTTTTCCATCATACTTACAGAAAAATAGCCCTGTTCAAGAAAGATTTTCAAACCTAACTGTTGGAAAACAATATTATATTGTTGTGAGTATTCTCTTGGCTTTTTGTCCTGCTTTCATTTAATTACACATTTTGATGATGATTAAGCTTTTGAGAGCTGGTAATTTTCCAGTTGGAAGGATAAGACTAAAATTAAAATGGTGTAGGTGAATTTTTATGTCTACTTTTTTATGAGTTTTTAAGTATTTGAATTAAACCTGTACTATTACTATGTAAAAGATAAGTATATAATTTAGTTACAAATAAATATATCCTGAAGTATAATGACTTCATATGAATCATATACTTACAGAAAAAATTATTGACTCCAAACATTAACAATAATTCAAGAAAACATGTGAAATACAAGCAATTGGTGAACATTAGCCCATAATTAATGTGACAAAGTCCAAAATACACAGTTTCTGGTAGTTTATCAAGCAGTGTTTGTAAGGACTAAAGTAATTTTATATAAGATGTTTTTGATGACAAAAATATTGGTACCTATCACTAAAAGTCTGCAACACCTGAACAGAACAAATTTTAAAATATATTAATTGATTGAAAACAATTGTCTGGTAATTAAGCAGCATCAATAGCCACAAAAGAGGCAATGATTACCAACATGTGTTGAATGAAACTTTGCGATAGCAAAGTCAATGATGGAACAGTCAAAGAGGTGAGCTGCTCTTGAAGAAAATTCAGAAAACAAATGTGAAAAGGAATCTGAAGCACAAAATTATCTGGTACAGTGAGACTAAAATAGACCTTTTCTCCTGAAGTGGAACACAGTATGTTTTCTTTAGGGGGGTGGGGTGAAGAAACCTTTAATGAACAACATCTTGTATGTACAGTTAAATCTGGAAATAGTTTGATAATGGTATTGAGATGTTTAGTAGAAAATTGATCGGATATATTTATATGTGCTTGTATAATTTGTGGCTTTGAAGTTGTTTCCAGTTTTTTTTAGTTTTTTTTTATTGATGACAAAATGGTGAAAGAGAGATTGCTAAAAAAGTTAAATTCATTTGGAAAAGTTCAGCATAGTAATCTGCATTAAGACTTAAGTTTACAGTCAAGTAAAACTCAAACATTTCATGAAGTTAACAGAAAGTGCATCTTATGTTCAGGAGTTAACTTGAGAAGAATGGTCTAGAACAGAGTTCCATCTTTTGAGGAGTCAAGCTATTAGCATTCTTGATCATCTGATTAGAATTTAAAATTGGATCACAACATGGAGATCTACCTTTTTCAAATTCCCAATTTAGCCACTAATAATTAAAAATGAAATGCATTTCTCTTACTTGACAATCATGAATATGTAGCTTTTATTATAATAGTAAGATAACTTTTTTATTTGTAAAGTTGCACAATTTTATTCATGTTATATATGAGATTGAGTGCATTATATTAAAACAGTTTTTGAGCTTCATCACATCCATATATCACCATCTCCAGTCATGCTCTGTATGACAACTGTACATCTTCACAATAACTCTGCAGCATAGTTTCATAGCAAAAGGCCCTACTGTAAGATTGTCTTGTCCAAAGCACACCCCTATCTTTGCATGCTTTCCTTAGTTGATATATATGTTAAAAATCAATAGAAAGTGCATATTTTCAATTTCAAGCTTGTTGTAGTCCTTTAGAATTAGTGGCAGTATTAACTTTATGGTTTGATTGTGTTAATATCTTGGTAAACAAAGTTAGCACTTGTAGCACTCAAATTTTGTAATCTATTTATATATTTGTTATAAAGACAGTTAAATTATAGTTATTTTTGGACATTCTATTTTAATGAATTATGTATTATATATATATATATATATTCTAATATGATTAAAAATATTTGAATGATTAAAGATTTTTTATTTTTGTGAAATGAGTTAGACAATTTTAACAAGGCTCAGCTTACTAGGCAATGGTGCAAAACTTGCATGCACACTAAATGTGTGTATGAGAATTTGCTTCTTTCTTCCCACTGTGATATATGTTCATTTCAGGAATGAATGAACTGTATGTCATACAAGTTATAAAACTAGAAAATTTAAAAGGCTGTATAAAAAGGTAAACAGTTGAAATTGTGAATAGCGTGAACTCGAGTTGTAGAAATAAATTATGTATTGAAAGAAGAACACTTGTATATTAATTTTGGTTCATAAATTTCAAAACTTCATTTCACTGTATGTTGAAGATTCAGCTACAGTTAGTATTAGGGTAGAGAAAATAACAGATAAAACATAAACTTTTATGTTAAAAAGCTTTTGATATACATTTAGGATGTGTTAAAGGTTACATAAATGAAATATGAAAAATTGCAAGAAAAAAAGAATTATTTTTATTCTTAACATGAAAATCACACAGCTTGCAAAATTTAATGAAGGTACACTTAATAAATTCAGAATTATAGTGTGTATAGTTTCATGGTTACATTGTGGTTACAGATTGATCAGAATGACCAAGCCCATACTTAAAAGGTTAATATAATGTATGCTTGTGTAGGATCTATTGTTATTCCAAAATACATTCTCTATAAGGGCCATTTGCTTATTGCTTGAGACTTTCATTAAGAAGATTTATGTATTCTGTCTTTTAAAAATACATTTTATGAGAAATTGGTGAATTCTCTCAGTATGAAATTAATAGTTTATCAAGCCATTTTCTTCTCCTTTTATAAAATATATATATATATTTAATTTTCAACAATAACTTCTCACCATTCTATCTACACTAACGCTTCTAAATATACTTAAAACGAACTAGATGAATGTGGAATTAAAATATAACTAGCAGATGTAACAAGATCTAAAAATGGAGCATAAAATTAATAAGACAAAAAATGAATCAAAACAAGATAAATCAGTTTAAGACTATGGTATGTACAGGACATGAGAGAAACCTGAACATAAAAAATAAGTTCTGAACTTAGAGCATATGGAAAAAAATGGCATCAAGAAAATGTAAGATCTTAGAATTGAAATTTACTCAGTTTGCATGTTTCTTTTTCAAGATGTTTGTTTCAGCACAAAGCTGTGGCAGTATTCAGAAAATATTATTTGATGTAATTAAATAATATTTGGCTAAGGTTATTCATATATATCGTGAAGTGTTGGTTTATCCTGGTAAATTATTTGAAAATCTGTCTAGTATTGACTGAACACACTACTCCAAATGTGGCCTAATCAGTGACCTATACAATGAAATTTTAAACTCTTATAATGTGTGTTCAGTATTTCTGTAGTTACAACCTAAAGTCCTATTTGTCCTTCCACTAGCAACAGCACACTGCTTGAATAGCTCAAGAGACTGATCAACCAATACATCAAGATCCTTTTCTTCCATATTCCCATCAAAATTATACTTACAGTTTGAATTATGATAACCCTTGCATTTATGAAAATTAAGTCATCTGCCATTTAATCACTCAATTCACCAAATAATTCAAATCCTTTTGTAAAGCAGCAGCAGCAGCATCCTCATAACCAGCAATACTCAATAACTTTAATATCACCAGCAAATTTAAGTAAATTATAGACCATATCTTCATCTGTGTTATTGATGTAAACAAAGGTCCTAACACTGAGCCTTGAGGTACCACACTATTGACAGGAATCCAGTTTGTCCGAATTCCATTTGTAACAACCTTGTGCTTTCTTTCATCAAACCACATTTCTCTTTAGTGAGCCAACTTATTCCACATATGTGTATACATATAAATCATATATATATATATATATATATCTACATTTTCATGTACAAAAGCAGCAACCACTTCAAATAATATAAAAATAGGTTATTAAACAATATTTTCCGGAAGTGAAACCATGTTGACTACTCGGCATAATTATAGTAGTTTTGTTTAATTATGTTTACATTCTTAATTGGTGATTTTGTTTTCATATAATAAATAATGCACACACATTTAACAACTATTTTCAGTAATCTGTTCTTTCATTGTATATCTAGGATTTTATATACAAATATTTTCTTTTGAATAACGTGTATTAATGTATTATTTTTAGATCAGGCCAGGAGATGAACAGTGTGAGAACTGTTTGGAAAACTTGAGTGATCCAAAATGCATAGGGTGTGTGTGTAAAACTTCAACCTTTCTACTTCCATCCAATGGTTATGGTAAGAGCAATGCATGTGTTGCTATTCAGAATTGTAACTTAACAGTTGAATATATATTTTATTCAGGTATAATCAAATAAAGTCTTAAATTTTTCTTACAGGTGTTCAGCATCTAGTTAATGACCTTGTGAATGTGATGTTATCAGTATTTCTTTCCTGTGATTGCTGGCCAAGGTTACCCGCTTTTATGATCATTCAAGAGAGTTTATACTCAACTGGCCAGGTTTCTCTATCTCTTCCATGAAGGAGAGGGAGGGACACACTCCCCTGGATTTGTTGGTGACCTCTGGCAACCTCTAGGTCTCCTGTCTTGTTACAACTTTGATCTTTTAACTGCTCATATATTGTATTTATGGAGTATTTTTAGACAGAATTGGTTAACCTTACAAATACCAGTGAAGTCCATATATACACAATTAGTTTGTAAAACATTGTGTTGAAGTAATTACATTGTATTTACCAAATGCTTGTTGGTCCATGATTGTGTTGGTTACAGGACCCTAATAATATGAGACGCACACAAAATATATAAACAAAAACAGCAGGAATGCTGTAATTATTCCTGCTGATTCGGAGATCCTCTATGTATATAATGTACATGTGAATATTTTAAAAATATTGAATCATCTTTATGCATTGTAGCTTGAGCATAGTATTAAAGTTGAATTTTTGTTATATATTTTTAAATGGCAAAACATGAGAGTTAAAGAGTACTGAGATTTCAAAATGTCATAAAATTACTGCTTTAGCTAAGAAAAATAGGTATACATAACTTACATTGTTTTACAGATGTTGATCTTCTGGGGTGAACTATTAAGGAGTCCTAAGATGTATTACAGGGTGTTAAACCCAATAAAATTCCAAATATTTTTTCTTGTCTGGCATGGTAGTTTCTAAAGTCCCAATTCAAGAGAAAAAGTAATACTAATAACATTATATCATTAAGTTATGAAAGATATAATCACTGTTATATATATTAAAAAGATGTGGCTGAATAATGCTGTGACTTTTATCAGACAAAAATCACCTAGGTGATGTAAGGTTCTCTTCAGAAGAAGAATGTAATTTACCTGGTACAGATTGGTTTATAGAAATAATTACACTAACCCTTCATGTTTAGACACATAGCCATGTAAAATATAATACATTCATAGAAAGTACTTAAAAATTGAATACTTGAAGTTAGATACATGTATAGTTCATTCTGGATTGCTAATTTTCAATACAATATTTCACATCTATACAGAGAATAGCTATATCCCTCAAGCATCTACCCTTGAGACTTGCATACCACTAGCCTTGAACTATTTCCCACCTAAAATTCACATAATTAACATGAACTGTACTAGTACATGATGATGTCATCATGAGAGAATAGCCCTCTCCCAATAGGAGGAAGACACAACTGCCATGCACATTGACTCTCCATAATCACTTGCACTTGAAATAATATCATTCCTTTCTTCGGCATTGTTTTGAATGGACGTTAAATTTTTTTTTCTAGTCTTACTTCAATTTATTGAGATTTGCAATAATCAACAAAACTTGCATTTTGTTTTAAAATAGCTTTTGTTTCACAAGTATTAATTACCTTCATGAACTCTCAAATTATGGTCTTTTCTACTGTGTACTGTGAGAATAAAAATGTTACAAACACAAGACCTATTTCTACTATGGCTTCTGGAGGCTAATTGATGGTTGAGTTTACGGCCATAGTACGATATCGTGGGTTCCCTTATGCATGCTGGGCCTCCTATTTTCATCTGTGGCCAACAATTCTTTACCTCAGTTCAAGATTTTGGGCTGCTCATTCTTCTATCAGGACTTACTTTGAGTACTGCCTTACAGGTCGAGGATAATTCTTAATCTTCCAATCTCGTTATGGATATGACTTTCTAGGTATGTACCATTCTTTCTCTTTTGACTCTTCCTGCTCAAGATTATTTTGTCTTTCCTCCTTCACCTGACATTAGGGTTCATGCTGATTCCTTTTTTTGAACAACTATGCACCTATACCCACATGTCTTGTTCTCCTCGCATTGTTAACTCCTGTGTCCTGGCTTTGGAATCTCTTTTACCAGCTTGTGGGAGTATACCACACTGTAACATTACCTTCCATCCTTCCACCTCATGTCTGATACAATTCAGTGTGTTCCTGGGGGTTTTTATGGTGAGGTTCATTACCTCCTCTTTAACACTATCATATTGGATTGGACCCAGTGGATGCTTTTTGGGCTCCTTTCTCAGTCAACAGATGAGTTCTTCACATTCTCACTTATGGTTTGTCTCTCCACTTCTCTTCCCATTTCATTTTCTTCTCTTTCAAACCCCATTTATCTTTTAATGTCTTGAGGATGTGGTCTCAGATCTTTTTGCCAAAATCCCCATTAAGAGGGTATACACCCCCTACTCAGGGGCTTTGCTATCACTTCTTTATGGTCCCCAAGATGTTCTGGGACTGGTGTCCATTTATCAACCAATCTTCTCTCAACCAGTTGGCTTCTCCTAGCCTTATCACAAAAGTATTCATTCACACCCACCTCCCTTTTTGCGCTAGAGGCTGCTCAGCTCAGTTAGCTTGTCAAGTTTTACAAGTTCTTTCCTATGCCTACACAGTATTTAATACATCTGGGCTTGTTTTTCAACTCTTGACTCAATTGTTCTCAGCCTTTTCCTCTATGCCAGCAAACTATGGAAACTCTGTGCAGGAACTTTTGCTTTTGGGGATGCTGGCTTCAGTGGAACCACTCATTTTATTGGGGTGTGCATATATGTGCCTTCTCCAATGGACTTTGCACAACCAGTTGAACCTCTCTCAGAATCCATTATCCTTCTCCTGTTCTCAAGTACTTGTCTTGATGGCTTTATCATGCTAATACCACAGTGGGTATCCCTTACTCCCTCCCCTCTGTATTTTCATCTCTTCACAAATGCTTCTCTCTCATGTTGCAGTGCATCTCTGAGCAAAAGCATAAATTCTGGCTTTTAGGCATTGGAGGAACATTCACTCTATATCAACATGCTTGAACTTCTTGCAGTTCATCAGGCATGCTCCCACTTCCTACCTCTTCTGAGTGACCATTTGGTCATGATCCACTCTGACAATTTCATAGTGTTTTATTATGTTACCCTTCAATGGGGCATCTATTCCAGGAGTCTCTGCTTTCAGGCCTTAGACCTCCTCTTCTGGGCTCATTTTACTGCCTGTCATGTGCTGGGTCTTTGAGCTTGGTGGCAAATTGCCTCTCATTTGGACAATGTTCTGACCATGGAGTGATCTGTTAGCCCCCAATACTTCTGTTGAGCTTGATCTCAATTGGGCACACACTTCATACATGTCTTTGCTCTTCCTCTCAACTTCAAGCTTCTAATGTTCTGGTTCCCAGTTCCTCATCCTTCAACTCTAGCTGTCAATGCTCTCAACCAGGACTGGTCTCACCCTTTTTTATATGCCTATCCTACTCTTTGGCCAGCTCAACCCTGGTATCCACTGCTTCTTTGGTTGACATTTAGAGTCCCCTTTCACAGTCCTGTGTCCCTACTGTGTTTCCTCAAACCTGCACATCCATTTTTCATCCAGGCATATCATCTCTTCATCTTCACACGTAGGATTTGTCTGGTCCATTGCCTTCAAGGTCTGACTCTTATTGTGTAGCTTTTGTTCTATAACTTTCCCGTTGTCTTTCCAACTTAACTATCAGTATAAGTGATGTTTTTTTCATTACTGGTCCACCTGCTGCTCCCTTTCTCCCGGCTGTTTTGGTTTATTCTACCTTTCAGCCTTTTTCACTTGGTTGTTCAACCATGGTTTGTCAGTCTCCACCATCTCTGTTTATTGGTTGGCAATGTCTACCATGTTTTGTCATTTCCTTTACCACAACGTTTTCTTTCTCTATCCTATTGAATCTGTTTCAATCCTTCTTTCTTCACCAACCCCCTTGCCCAATTCTTATGCCTGACTGGGACCATAATGTGGGTTTGCACACTTGCATATATGTCCCATTTGAGCCATTGCTCCTTATACTATCTTTCGTTTAAGACTTCCTTCCTTCTTGCCTGTGGTTGCTGTTGGTCAGTTTTCTGTGCCATTAATACTTCTCATCCACTATTACACTACACTTATTTACTCCTTTACTCAGACCAGCCTTTTCTTTCTAAGACGTAGACCACTCAGGAAGGCAATTGCTTTTTCTCTTCAATCTTCCTTCCTTGTATCTATTTCCTGGATGTTGAAACTTGCAAGCACTTTCACATTTCTTTGCATCAGCTGCATCACCTGTCTGACTTTTTTGCTTTTAATTTTGTCAATTATTGGACAAGATCCTCCTGGTTGGCAGCTGGACAACTCCACACATATTTGTCTTAACTATCTTCGTCACCTGGCTGTTTTGACTCCCAACAGTGGCCATTCTTCAATCAGCACACCACCTTCGAGATTAATAAATATATATTTCTTCTTTTCCCTCAAATTCTACCTAACAGGATCCCACCAGGAGGCTGGTGTTGCCTCTCAGGCCAAGAGTAACAGAAAACATTCAACCTATCTGCCTTGGCTCTACCAGTGCCCACTGTCAAGATGGTGTTCCACATGACCACTTGAGGTATTCCCCATGGTATATAATATTACTTAATTGCCTGATCCAAACCAATCAATTCCATGGACTGTCATAAAAAAAGCCAGCAACAGGGAAATGACTGCCCACTTCTTTGGCTTGCACTTGCCAGCTTTCAAACATAGGGTTTCACAGTCACCCATTGCACTGTCTTCAATAACAGACCTTTCTGGCAGGAGGCTGATGGAGATCTGGGTTTCCCCAACTCACATTTTCCACCTACTCTTCAAGTGGAGCATGGAAGACCATTGCCATTTAACAGTTTCTAGCCACTGGGTGGTGAACCTTGTAGAATCCCTCACCAATTGGGCTCAGTAAAATATGGTGAGAAGTAAGGCAGTGGTGACATTATTGATGTAGTACAGGGCCCCTCTCATATGGTTTATTTTGCCCCCTTGCGTACTCATTCTGTCCAGTTGAGTAGAGGTTAGTACATTCCATACAGTCTGATTGCACCCTAACTACATTACACTTGAGTGTAAGTACTTGGATGGTCACATTTTCATTCTGCATATCCCTGCAACACTTGAGGCCCCTTTACTTTCAGGGCAAAAATTATATACCCTGGTCAAAACGAGATGTGCATGTGCCCCTATGGAGCCCCTGTCATTGGATGTCACATTACATGGGCTTTCCCCTATGGGTACTTTCAGAAGCAAGCACATCTAAGTTTATAAATTCTTACCAGCCACTCCACCAATTTAACTTTAGATTCTAGCTATTCTGTGTGAAGAGATGAGGTGAAAATTACCATTTTCCTAATCGGAAAATGTATTTCCTATTGAAACTAACTTCCTCACTTCCGTAGCTCTTTCTTCTTGCCTCATAAAGAATGATGTTATTTTCGAGTGCAAGAGATTAAGTGGAGTCACTGCGCATGGAAGTTGTTTCCCTCTTCTATTGGCAGAGGGCCGTTGTTGCATGATGACATCATTATGTACTTACACAGTTTGTGTTAATGATATGAATTTTAGGTATGAATAGCTCAAGGCTAGTGGCATGCAAGTCTTGTGGACAGAAGCGTTAGAGATATAGCTATTCCGTGTGTGGAGGTATCTATTGGAAATACATTTTCAGATTAGGAAAATGACTGCAATCCACCTTTCTTTTTTATCTTCTTTTTTTTTTTTATTTTAATAATGTCAGATCTTGTATAATACTGCCACATTATTTCAGAACTTTCAATATGCTGCTAATTACAATAATAAAATATTCATTTCTAAACAGAGCTTGCTCATTTTATTGATACATGCATGAGAAGGGTAATTAATGACTGTTTACTTAATTAGCAATACTTTATTAAATCTGGGTTTAAGTTATTCTGAGGCTTCGTCCAGACTTTAATTATGGAATTAAAATTAGGCCCTCTTTTAGGGGCTTACACTTAATCTTGAATAAATAGCCTTAAAATTAATAAAAATGGTTGACTTTCATTTTCTATATTTCTATGAAAGCATTTTAAATGTTATTAAATGGTAAATACACAAGTTTATGGATCATAGGTCCGGAGATCAAGATATGGTGCCACTGATCTCGTTCTGCTATAGGTGCATTATAAACGTGAACATCAATCCCATTATTTTGTTCAAACTGTGGTAGCAGGTACTGCTTGTTCTCGTCAGTAATTCAAAATTAATGGTCTCTGACCTGACCATTTAGCCCACGTGTGAATAAGATGCTGTTCAGTCTTAAAATACCAATGGATCTGTATAATAACATATGTTGAAAAAAATGTGATAAAGATAAATAGTCTCTAAGTTAATTTAACCAGATAATATAAAATACATTAAGAATGAAAAAAGGTATATATATACTTAACAAAAAGATATGTAAATCAAAAATAGTAACTAATGGTTTAGGATAATATCACATGATTCATCTCAAAATATCACTACTAAGAGGCAATTCAGGTTACCGTGGTCACTGATTGCAAATGACATTTGACTACCCAGTCTTCTGTGAAGTAAGTGTTAAAGATGGGTCAGCCCAAAATTGGAACAGGAGTAAATTTTTTTTATTTTTTTTTGTTAATGAAAATTACACACTCCCCAATTTTAGTCTAATACAAACATAGAGAAAGAACCTGGTCTAAGGAAGTCGAGCAAAATTTGTTCATTTTATCAGCATAATCTTAGAGTGTGATAACCTAGCTTTCAGACATGACATTTTCATATTATTTGCTAAATTACTCAGAAATTGCCTTTAGATGGCAAAATATTTTATTACAAATTAAATTATAAAGCTCTGGTGGGAAGTTTTATCTTAATTGTATTTATATATATATATATATATATTTGCATTCTGATCTCGGAAGCTTCTAAAACTATTACTTTTATTTGTTTCATAAACGTATTTGGTTTTAGTTTTTATATTAGACAGAAATTGGAAACATTGTTGAATACTTTTCTTTTGTACATTTCAAACTCAAATTATGTATACTAAAGTAGCATATTTTATGTTTTGTATAAAGCCAGTACAGACAACAATCAAAATTGATTGAAAAATGAGTCTTAGCAACATTTCACACAAAAATACACTTTTTAAAGCTACTAAAGGTGAGAATAAAGATGCCCAAAAACTGACCAGAACATACAATTTATAAACTCCAATATACTTATAAGTATAACCAGAAAGAAACTTTACATACAAGACTCAAGAATGCCAACATGAATAGTTTTTGGTGTTTATTGCATACATAAGATTGTTACATTCTTGATATTTGCGTTTTAAACTTTTATTAGTTTTTTTACACTTTGTTAGATTATATACACACACAAGATATTTGGTTATGTTATCCCAGTTGGACTTTTTTTTTTCAGATATGAGTTTTGTTTTATTATTTGTTGAATATGATAGTTTGTTGTCTACATGAGATTACTCTGTAATGATTATAATGCCTGATTTCATTGTGCTGGGTATTTTCAATATTTCGTTTGTTGTCCTGGCTGTTTCTGTACATATCTATTTAATATATAGCTTTGTAAGAGATTGTGTTAACACAGTTGTCTTTGCAATTTAGGTTGGCATGATAAAATGTGGATCAGCAGGTTTAAGGTTTGTTTGATATACTGCTGAACATACTCTTGCACTGTGAGTGCATTAGAAAAATAGAAATCATTTCATCATAGGTTCTAGGTGCTACTCACTCATAGTGGTTCAAGATAAGGAACAACAAACTTGAACCTAGCTGTTTAGCCCATGTGTTGCATAAAATGTTCTGGTTAAAAATACAAACTGCCCTTAATCTTTATTTCTTATTGTTGAAAAATTCCATTTCTTATTCCTCGCAAATTAGCGACAATAACATTTTTAGAAAAAGAACCTTTAATATATAGCATTAGGTATTTTCACTTAGAAAAAAAAAAAGCATACACAAATTAATTGTTTAAATGCAACTAAATATGTATTGTTAAATAGAACCTCAATAAAATAGTAAAATTGTATGTATTTTTTTCTCGTTTATCATGAAGTAATATAGACAATAACAATTTGGATAAGGTGTACTGCTTGATTTTAAAGAATGTGAAACAAACTGCTCCAACTTTTGATTAAATAAATCACATCAACATTCACTACACTAAATTTTGTTTCTGTTGCAGCTTTCAGCCTTCTCTTCTGATCTGAGCCCTGTTCACTTCATTTGCTTGACACAGGTTCTGATAAAATAGCCACAGTTTGCAATAAGGTCAAAAATTTAATGCTGTGAATGTTGGTGAATGTAATTTTTTGAAATACAAATAACTATACATTATGAGCTTAAACAACAAGTCAAAGTTTGATAGTTTTTAATGAACTAAGATTCACTTATTATCAAAAATGAATGCACCTCAACATTTCTTTAGTGACAGATGGATTTATAAATTATAGTTTATTCACAATCAAAGCAAACTAAGTTTGATATTAATGGCTTGAGCTTTAGGGTTTTTTCAGGTAAAAATTCCTGAAGTAAATTGAATGATAGTCATGTTGCTCTGCTATCAGAGCTTACATAATAATCTGTTTGTGCCCCCACCCTCATTCAATTAACCCTGTTGTCAAGCAGTTAGGAGAACAAAGTCTCATTCAGCAGTATGGGTTTACTCTTGATGAATAAGTTATAACCCAAACATAAAGGTACTTCCACTAACTTTGTGCATATCCATCTATTTTTGGTGTTCCATCATTGAATGTGGCTTCATCAGTAACTAGCAAGTTGGTAGGAGAAAACATCAACTTATTAACATGTTCTCAGCTTACCTGCAAGTAGATATACTTGCAACAAGAATTTTCTGTCCCGTGTCCAGTTTTTTCTTTGTGCTGTTCTAGCAGTTAGCATATACAGATGTAATCAACAACTATGTATTTTTTCCTGCATTACTACACTTCTGATACTAATTGTATCTTTTTTTTTCTTTTTCAGAGACTAAATATTTAACTGAACCAAGTCCAGATGTAATGAACAGTAACTTAGCTCTAGTGCTAGGTGTTGTGTTGGGGGTTGTTGCTCTTTTGTTTATGGTAACAGTAATGGTAGCTTTTCGTAGAAGACACAATTTAAGAAATCGTGGTAAGTTATATGAAGAGTTTATTGGTAAATTCTATAGATCCAAATCTGCTCCTTATGTATTAATACTAAGTTGTTTTCACAATATTTAAAAGACCATTTAGAGAAATGTTCTAAATTAAGGTTGTAATTATCATAATTTATTCATTTAATATGATTTCCAAAGTATGTTGTATGTACTATAACAAATTATAATAATGTAAATATTAGCAAGATTAAAGCTCTTGAAATTGATTTAAAAACCATGAATAAATTTCTATGTGGCACAAATATTTATAATGAAATGTTAGTAATAATTGAAGTATAATTTTGTTCCCAGCACTAAATTATACTTTTTTTGCCATCATTACAAAACTTATTACTCATTTTTCGTTACTTCGTGCATTTATCCTCATATTAACAACTATTAATAGGTGATAAGCCTGACAACAGATAACTTCACAAATATTTTGCAACAATATAAATCAGGTCAGTACAATATTAGTATCTCACTTCCACAAAAGTAGGGTGAACATGACCTAATTGTTATCATGCCTAGACTGTTAACCTGATGGTTTATAATATTCAACCCATTGTGTCAAACCTTGTTTCACACTTTTGGAAGGCCCGGCATGGCCAGGTGGTTAGGGTGCTTGACTCGCAATCTGTGGGTTGTGGGTTCGAATTCCTGTCACACCAAACATGCTTTATATTGGCTTCTATTATTATACTTCTGGCGGCTAAATGTAGACATATAATCACAATAAATGGAAAATTTTAAATTTCTCATCTCTGTAATACTACATCTTTTGTCGAACTGACCTTTTGTCTTCACGTGTTTTGAGTATTTAAATACGGCTTGTATCTTCGTTGTTTTTGTTTTTCTAGAAACACAAATAGACGTGCAAACAGAATGATCAGTAGGTTAATACG